AACCAGAAAGGTTTAAGATCACAAGGCAGATACATCAAGCCACAGCTACAATCTTAGACCAAGGAGACTGAGGAACACTTATCAAAAACTTCTAGCCAGCAACACCATATGTCAGATTAGTATGTAAGTACTTGGCCATGGACCCAGCAACATAGGGAAGAAAAAGGAGGGGAAAAATCAACCAATTAAAACATCTTAAGTCCACCATTTTACATACAAACTTTGAGGGAACTCAATCACATACTAGAAACCTGACTTTTTCAGCATACCCTGAGACTTATACTGATAATATAGGTTAGCATCCTGCAATACTACCTGCTAAGCTCCCACTTCTCCGGAGGGGAATCAGCTCCTAGAGCTTGAACAACATCTTCCAATTAATCTGACCTTCCAGCCAGATATTTTGCATGGGCAGTGACAAGCTGCTTCCCAAATTGCATCAACCTCTTTGCATCCAACAAACCCTACAAGATGAATCCTTAGGTTTTGCAGTTTCCTGGAATTGTAATTTCTAAGCTCCCTTCAACCTGCACAGAGCCCAATAGCTACAATGAATCTGAACAAGATGATCTAGCACAATTTGGACATGTATAGAGAGGAAGAGATGTGTCTTCTATGTGGCAGCAACAGAGACAGGGATCAAATGCTGTTCTCCACAACACAAAGTCCAGAGAAAAGTATGTATGAAGTTTTGGGAATAGCAGGTTTTCATCCAGTAGGGACGTCCATTGATTTGAGAGGTGAGAACCTGCAGCTTTTGACACAAGGTGAGCCTATTCCTTAGTGCAGTGGGCTGTGGATCATTTGCTCTCTGTGCTCCACATTTTTAAGGTAAAATTATGCTCTCCAAGGAAAAGACAGGACCCTGCAGATGGAATCCTCTTCACCAAATGTTTTGTGTCTACGGTGGAGGTGTCTCCATCAGTGGTGTACCCCTCAGTACAAATGGGAACCTGCAGCATGATTAGAACTGCAGAATCTGAACTCCAAGGGTTGTATTGACTCAGCCACCACAGGAGCTGGATGACATGCTTGGATGGATACACCTGCCCATTGCAGAAGCCTACATTTGCTCAGATGGCCCCAGTTCTGATTGCTTTTCCTGAGAGAGGCAGGAAATTTTTTTGTCTCTGGTGTGCAGCTGGACACATGTTCCTCCTGTTTGGAAGGACAGTTGCTTGTTCACTGGCTGTTTGTCTTCTTTTTGCCTTTGAAGAATTGTAATCTTCAAGATACCTACTGGACCTGCTGGGCCAGGTTGCCGAGTGCTGGACAAACTTCCTTATAAAAGCCCTGGTCATCAAAAGAAGTGGAGCAACAACCTCAAATTCCTTTGCAAATACAACCTCAGGCATGCTATGTCTAGATAAATTGTCCCAGTGTCCTGAGCTCCTGACGTGAAACTGCTGGAGCATGAATGCTTCCAGGAAGTGGAAGGAAACCATTATCATCTTCAGGTATTCTGGGAAGGAGTCAAGGTTTTTAATATCTAACTGCCTGGCATGACATGTGGCTGCACAGAGACACAGCCTCTCCTGCCCTGCTCCTCCCCAGAACAGTCACAGCTCAGGGCTGTGGCCACCAAATGACAGTTCAAGTCCTCACCTTCCCTCACCCAGCAAAATCACCAGGCTGTTGGTCTAAATTCCTGCACACCTATCACCCTATCTCAGATCACTGGCAGGTTTTCTGGCAGCCATCAGGCTTTCTGGATGCCTCAACATTTCAGGGAAGAACTGAAACTTCAGAGTTGAGAGAGGGAATGTCAGGAGATTTTCCACTGTCTGGGGAGAGGAGACAATGGTCTGGGTCCTCATTGCTACACAAAGGGGGAGATCAAAGCTGTTGTTGACATGGTCAGTATTGCAGATAAAGAAGACAGCATCCAGGGCTGTGTCTCTGTCTCACATGCCTGGTAGCTGAAGTGTCTGCCAGATCTAAGGGAGGATCAGGTATTTACATGTCTCCATGTGTGCGTCTGTGTGGGAGAGGGTTTGTATATGTTACAAGGAGAAACTGTAGATGGAAACAACCCAGTTCGGTGTCAAAGGTCTGGTTCAAAGCCCATTAAGCTCAGCAGAAGTAACTCCATTTACTGTGGTGGGTTGTGGCTGCATCTGTCCTTACCCCTCCCTAATACGCCAACAAGCTCAGGGCTGCTCCCTGTTGCATATCCTCAGTTAAACCCTGTGGGCTTCCCATGTTCACCAAGATGGCTATTTTACAGGGAACATCTGGAGATGCCCCCTCCTCTGGTGTTCACACCCTGCAGATATTTAGAGGCAAGTGTTGTTCCTTCATCACTCCTTGCTCAAGATACCAACATCCTATTGCTTTAGTTCTGTAAATTGGTGCCAACAGGCTTTTTTCCATCTTTTGTGTTGATTTTATCTGAACACACTCCAGCATCATCTCCCACCCCAGCAGCTATATTTGAGATCAGAAGGGCCCATCTCACCACCTTTTTTCATACCCCAATCTATCACCTTTCTACCAGTTCTTTCTGAACTGCTGGTAACCTGTCTGCAACTAAAGCATCCATTTCTAAAAGGCCATCATACTGGCTCTGCAGACAGCAAAAGCTGATGACCTCATTGCTCTAAGGACTACAGTTTATGCACAGTGATGCTGTGACTTTTCCTCCTTTGGGTTTGTGAAGCTTCTGCTGCACTCTCACATTTAGAAGAACCCTTTACCACCTTACGATTTCCATACCAGTGTGTTTATAGCCTGTAAACAAGTCACATCTCCATCTTCTTTCCAGTAAGGTAACAGGTTTATGCTCCTAAAGAGTTTAACTATAAGGCATTTTATTTCACGCCTTTCATTTTTAATAGTCTTCAAAAATGCAGCTCCTGGAGCAGAACCAAGAACTAGTGTGTCATCATAAAGATGCAGGGTTGTTTCCTCCTGTCACTCCCCTATTTATACAGCGACAGACTGCCATGGGATTTTTTGCCACATTAAGTTAGAGGTCAAAATGGAGCTGCTGCTTCTTTCCTTCCACACCACAAAACCTTGTCACAAACATTACAGCTTGCTTTCCTCTTCCTTGTCCTCCCCTAAGTATCACCCCAGCACCATGGCTCTCTGGATTTGTCTCACCCATGTCTTGACCAGGCTGAACACACGAATTTAGCTTTTCCATCCTGATAACATCACAGGTCAAAGTGGAACCAACAGAAAGTGAAGGACTGAGCCATCGAAGCAGATCGAGATCTGCCATGAGGGTGCCACATGTAATGTTCTGCATGAATGTACAGGAAATGTGATCAGGGATAATGTACTTGCATAGATAGAGAATTGTTTTAATTCCAGTGTGTTATCAGATCTGGAAAAATGCTGAATGAGTGGGTAGCTGCAGTATCAGTCTATTGTTACACCATGAAGCAGAAGCTGAATTCCCCCTGTAACATCTACTCTAATTGCACAGCTTTGGCAAATAATCTTTAACTAATCCTAACCAGACTCTTTTCCCTGCATTAATTCTGTATTATCAGTTCACTCCCCACCTCAAAAATTAATTTTCACTCTCAGGCCCCCACCACATTATTATAATAGATTATGTGAAAATCTCTCCCAAATAATATGGTGAAAATATTAGGAAGAAAGGAGTTTCAGCCTGTTTGGGAAGAAGGGAAATTACAAAGAACATTCAGTCTCCATGTTGCAAGTTAAAAACTGATCACATATATATCCACGTATACACATGTAGGCATAGTCATCTCACTACTGCCACACATTAAGGTCTGGTTTCCGCAGCCAAGGCTTTCCATAGTGCTTTCTGCCACAGCATTGAACTAGGAGATAAAATTGCAGTGCTTGATCACTGTAACTCCACATCAAAACATTGCACATTTGCACTATGAGCCAGGGATATTAAGGATAGATGCAAGAATGCACTTTGCTTAAAAGTCCTGTAGCCTGCTCCAAAAAAAGGGCCACTCCTCTGGGAGCAAATGATTAATGAAATGTAGACATTTGCTAACACCCCTCCTACATTCTACAGCCCAGCATCTCCCAGAGCTCCTATTGCTTTATCCCTTTGTCCACAGTCCATACAACCTCCCAAGTGCAATGATGCTGCCTGATGTGTTGATTTTCTTCAGTGCTTTTGTGACAGACCAACCTGAGGAGACCCATTACAGCAGGCAACAGCTGGAGCAGAACAGCCAGGGAGGTGATGACTGCAGAACAGGGAAGAGCATGTAAGCTATGGGTGCAGTTTGACCAACAGAAGGGAAATAGCCATCAGGCTACAGCTTTCCATTAGTTGGTCTCCCATAAGTCTGTTGCCACAGAAGACTGCATAGTTATGAAATCAAAGCTTTCTAAGCTAAGCATTTTTTCTAGATTATCACAAAACTTCAGATAGAATGGCAGAGTGTCTGGTAAGGCAAGAATAACCACGAGGAAAAAGGTTCTTGCCACGAGCAGTTTGCTTGTAACAAATGGTCACTGACTCTTCTCTGAAATGGAGACTACTTCAGGGCTGCCCCATGCCCACAAGCAGCCCTCTGAGCCGAGGGAATCCTCCTACCATGGACAAATAGGAAACAAAGGAAAAAGGGGCAAATTACCTCTCCAATCAGAGTGAACCTCTCAGGAACTCACCTCTAGTCCGTTTCAGAGCCAAGAAAAGTGACTTTGAAACTCATAACTTATCCTGAAATGTTGGATGTAGACTCTAACGCTACCTTGAGAGCTTGTCACCTATGCAATGTATGGGCACCTTGTACAAGTCTCCACTGGTCCCAATGTGGAAAAAAAACGCTCAGAGAATGTAACACGAAACCAACTGCAATTCAACATATGAAGTTTTAAATCAGATTAAATCAATGAGGAAATAAAAGAAATGTAAATGCTGTCTTTATTCTTTGAAATCACAAAAAAGAAGAGCAAATCTGAAAAAAACAGGAGAAACCACAACAAACAGGATTTTGTGCAAATATCTGTTGCACTTTTGTCATGGGTTTTGCTTAAGCCAGTACTTGAGAGAGTCAGAAAAGTACCTTCTCCAAGATGAATCCTGACAAGACAAGGAGTAAGAAGCCATCTGGATGGATAAACCCAGAACTCGCTCTAAGCAAAGAAGCTGGTGTGCATTGGAACTGCTTTAACTTTATGTCCATCATCCCCAGATTGGTTTTTCCACTTCCTACAAGGCTGCATTCAGACATGGTGGTGCAGCCCTTCATGGCGGTTTTCACAGACAGTCCACCTACACAAGAGAAGTAGTACATGCCATGCTTCAGCAGAATCAGAGACCATAGCAATTCCCTCCTCAAACAATGTTTCCCTTTCCACCCTACTAACTGCCTGTTGATTATGTCCAGCCAGCTCTAAGCTCACCAACCCATTCCTGTCTGTTCCCATCTCCTGAAAAAATTTGCACAGGTAGCAAGGTCACCTTGGTTTAGAGTTTGTCCTTCTTTCTGCTGAAGAAAAATGTTTGTTTTAAAATGTGAACATTTTAAATTTTAAAATTGAAAACCTCATAAGATCCTTGGTGTTCAAATCTTGCCCAGCTTCCTGAAGGAACCAAGGCTATGTGACAGCATGCCATGAGTTCAGTCTCCTCCTCTCTGAGTCTCATGACATCTGCACTGAATGACTCTCAGCCAAATCGACATGAGGGTGTTAAGTCTCAAAGACTTTATAGGCTGATAAATTTACTCACATAAGTCCATTCTCTAAGGCCTTGCAGGATTTAGCCAAACAAGCAGAGAAACCCTGCTCTCATGGCCACTCAGAGAGCCTGGAACCTCAATTCTTCAGTTGCCAACACTGGAGCACCTATCTGAGAAGGAGACCTGAGAAGGTGCTGGGTGCCTAACCCATTCAGATATTCTTTCTCCAGATGTTTGCTTTGTCTCTCTCTGCTTATTTTTCTCTGCTGAACAGGCTATGGAGGTCTGGAATATTCTGCTGGATGTTTTTATCTCAAATACAAACAATATTTAAGGGCACTTAATTAGTTCCTCACCTTCTTTTGTTCCCCTACACTGCTGCTTCCTCTGCACAGCTCATCATATCACATGGATCTCCTCTATTTATAATGGCCAATCAATGAAGTGAAGACAAATTAGGACCATTTTATGTTTCATTGGTACATTGAATTAATTGCACCACTCTATTTCCACAGCTGAGACTAAAAATTACTTTTTTGCCTTCATGTTTTCTCTGAGAAACACCCTTTAACTCAGGGTTTGAACTATACATCTATGAAGTGTGTAGCAAAGACCTTCAGGCAATCGTATCATCACCTGGCAATATTATCAACTCAGAGAAACTTCATCCACTGCCACACACAAGGGTTTTTTTCCAGCCTACTTCTGCAGCAGGATCTGTTGTCCTGAATTTGTATTTTTCCTGCCCACTGGAGCATGGTGGGACTGCCATGAAAGCTGCAGGAGGGGAGGAAAGCAGAGTGACCAGGGACCTTGCTGCCTACTCACTCTAATTACAGCTCCTGAGATGGGAAAAACAGCATATTACATGCTGTTGGTGACCCCAGTTATGGAAAGGCTGGAGTTCCCTCACAGGGAAGATCTTTGGGTACTCCAACAGCTCAGCTGCAGCTTTCATGGGGACTGACAGCTCCCTAACTTCCTAGAAGCAAAGGCACCACTGGTCTCCACTGGCCAGTGACACCTCACAAAATAGCCAATGGTTCTGTAAAAGTTGCACCTGAATCTCTGTTAAGTAGGCAACTGGATCAGATTCAAAATCATCTTCATGCTTCCTAGCTAGGGCAAGCAGGTTCAGGATCTTGGTCAGATCTACTACATGCTTCAGGACTGCTTCAAGAGTCCAGTTCTGCTCTTGACCTTGGCTATATGATGCTAGAGGAATCACAACAGCTAATTATGGGGAAGGAGGGTGCAGGGAAACACTCCTGCCCTCTTATTGGCTTCATTCATAGAATCATAGAATCACAGAATGGTTAAGGTTCAAAGAGACCTTAAAGATCATCAGGTTCTAACCTCCCTGCTGCAAGCAGGGACACCTCACTACACAGGCTGCACAAACCCTCATCCAACCTGACCTTAAACACCTCCAGCAAGTGGATTCATATTCTCTTTCAGTTTTGTGTCTTTTCCTCTTTCTTTCACACTTCTGCCCATTTTTATTTCTCTGTGATGCTTTATCTTAGACTGGTTTCCCCAACTTAACAATAAAGATAAAAGAAAGCCCCAAATAAAAGGTAATTACTAGAATTCATAAATCCAGCCAGGTCAAGGCACTTGGTTTCAGATCCGGTGCAGTTTACAACTTCGTTACCACACTGGAAGGAGTCCACACTGTAGCAGGCAGGACACTGGTATCCATTGGGCTTGTTGTCCTCTGGAGGCACTGAAAGGAAAGACATGGGCCATAATTTAC